AATGAGCACTAATAGTTTTTAGATTGGTGGTGGAGAAGATTCCCCATCTCTGATTTGGGTACGAGTTTGTTAGAAAAATTAATGAAAATTTCTGGCTCTAGAAATAAGGCAGTGAGGCTTCCCAGACAAAAGTCAGAGCACATTTTCCTTACATAAGTTAACTAAATATTTCTTGAATTAAGATACTAACATGGTAAGAATTCTTAGTCATCAAATTTTTCTTCCTTAAAGTTTTTAGGCATACGGGGTATGATATTTATGGACAAACGCAATATGGAAAAAAAAACATGATTATCAGAATGGTTCTTTTATGTTAGAATATTGGGAATATGAGAAAATATGGTAAAAAATATACTCTACTGGCAGGAATGAAGGTTAAGTCATTAAAAGAAAATAGAAACAAAGCACTGTTTAGTGTCCTTACTTGTAAAACAAAAATAAGACTTATCCTATTTGGTTACGAGGATTAAATAAGATAAATGCAAGCATAAGGTACAGGCAACTTAGCATAAATATACACAAGTTTAATGTTTTCTTCATTGCAATGAGTGATTCTGTACTTAATGTTACTAATATATTAAATTCAACTACATATAAAAATACAGTTCAGATCTGGAAGTGAGTTTAAGAATTAGTATAGGCCAGGAATAAATAAGATACAAGTACTCTGAATTTCCTCATATTAAAAATAGGTTAATAACTAAAAATAGGTTTGTGGTAGAGAACAAATGAGATATTAAATGTGAGAGCCTTTTATAAATTCCAAAAGGCACAATGATAAGAGTAGCCATTGACACTGATGGAAAACAGAAGTTGTATATTCTCAGAAGATGCACATATGTTGGCTTAAATGTAACTATTAAACTGCATGGGATGGGAGTTGAGTTCCTTCCTGAAGGACACAAACAGCAGAGAGGCTGATAAGCTCTTATCTAAAGATGGGGAATCTAGCCACTGGTGGAACTTTTGTTCTCTGAGTAGGATATTCAAATGTGGGTTTGGAACTGAACTCAAGACAGATTTTTAGAGGCTACAGTCCAAAAAGATCCTGGAAGGAGAAAAGAAATATCTAAAGAAAAATTTTGGGGCGGCACCTCGGTGGCTCAGTTAGTTAAGTGTCTGACTCTTGATTTTAGCTCAGGTCATGATTTCAAGGTGGTGAGATCCAGCCTGGCTTCAGGCTCTCTATTCAGTGGGGAGTCTGCTTGAGATTCTCTCCCCCTCTCCCTCTGCCCCTTCCGTGTGCTTGCTCTAATATATATAAATCTTAAAAAAAAAAAAAAAAAAGGAATGTTTTTTGGATGTTAGGTGTCGGTCTTCCCCTTGAAATCTTCAGTAACATCTAAAATGTCCTGCTTGTCCTGTATCCCACCACTAATTTATTTAGTGACTGTGTTACCTGGTAAAAGTGTAACATATATTCTTAAAACTCCTCAGTAAAGATAACGCATCATTGCTGAAAACCTACTTATAATAGCAATATTCATATGCTTATAAATGCCTTTATTTTCTGATTCACAAGTTAAATAACTGATTCCTAAACCAGTAGGCAGATTTTCCAGGGTGCTATCATCTTTGGTTATCCTCAGGTAATGTTCCCCATCTCATTTTTAAAAAAATTTTATTTATTTATTCATGAGAGACACACAGAGAGAAGCAGAGACACAAGCAGAGGGAGAAGAAGCAAGCTCCATGCAGGAGCCTGATGTGGGACTTGATCCTGGAGCTCTGGGATCATGTCCTGAGCCAAAGACAGACGCTCAACCGCTGAGCCACCTAGGTGCCCCTCCATCCAAGTTTTTAAAGTGGTATTACCTTTGCCATTTTTTCAACAATATGCCTACCATGGGCTACCCAGTGTTGCTACAATAAGCACCAATGATCCGACTGAATAAACCCAGAATTTAGGCCTTCATGGAACTACATTCCAGAAGCAGATGTCTTCCTCAAGAAAGTAATGTTACATACCATGCTCAGTACCATGAAAGAACTGAGAATTGAGACAGAAAATAATGGCGTGGCAGAGGGGAGATGGAAGTGAAAATATGTTAGGGAAGGCCTTCCTGAGAAAGTGACATTTAAATTGAGACATGAAAGACAAAGTGGCAAGCAGGAGGAAAAGTGTTCAGACACAAGAAACAGCAAGGGAAAAGACCCAGTGGTGGAAAAGTTTCATATGTTTGAGAATCTGATGGAAGGTCCCTGACTATGGAGATGTAAGTAGGAAGGAGCATGGTATGAGTTTATTTTCTGAGTGCTTAATATGTGCTAGACATCATGCTAAGTACTTTAATGCACACTCTTAGGTGATCACTACCAAACCTATAAAGTTAGATTCCCTCTCCCCATTTTCAAAATGACATAAACAAGCATAAGAAGGATTAAGAAACTTGTTCAAAATCACATACCAAGTGCTGGAGTGTAAATTCAATTCAATGCAGTATGTATAACTTACAGCCAAAGTTAGAAGATAAGCAGCAGACAAATCAAATGGAGCTTTATATGCCACAGTAAGGAGCTTGAGTTTTATTTTAAACTCAGTGGAAAGCCACTGAGAAGTTTAAACGTGACATTATCTGATTTACATTTCTACCGTGACTGCTGTGTGGAGGAGTTGCATTGGGTAAACAAAATGAAACCTATAAGTAGTAGGGAGAGAAATGATGGTTGTCTGGATTAGAAGCAAACCAATTCAAGATCTATTTAGGAGCAAATCAAATTAGCCTTGCCAATGATTTAGAGACATGGAATAAGAAAAAAGGAAAAATTGAGAATAACTCCCAGGCTTCCGGCTTTAGTAACAAATAGATCATGATGGTTAATCATGAAATGGCTTAGGATCAGACTACATTTAGGAAAGGGGACAGTCATTTAATCATTCGACAAATCTTTGTCTTCATAGAGCTTCTACCACTGGAGTGCGTGTGTGTGGGGGTGCAGTTAGACGAACTGATATGTAAACTGTAAGACAGCGCTAAGTGCTATGGAAGACAACAAAGCAGGTTAAGTGGGAAAGGAGGTTATTATTTTAATTAAATGGTTAGTTTCTCTAACATATGAGCAGAAGCCTAAAGGAAACAAAGGAAGCAGCTCTGATGATTTCTAGAGGAATAGAGTTCCTGGCAGTCCCACGTAAGACTTCACTGGCCCTGAGACAGGAGTGTTCCTGGTATGTTTGAAGGACTGCCAAGGAGGCCAGGATGGTCCAGCAGGGTGGTTAAGGGAAAAAATAATAGGGGAACAGACAACATGGAACTTTTGATAAGGATTTCACCTTTTCACTTTTGGTAAAACAGGAAACCCTTGCAAGACTGAAGATTTGGAGAGTGGTGTTACTTCAGCTGCAAGGTGAAAACTATACTACTAGAAGGCAGCAAGAGTGGAAGCAGAGACTCAAGAAGCAATAATCCTCTGGAAGACCAGACCAGAAGTACTGAGAGGGACAGATTTAGATAGATTTTAAAAAGCAAATAGGATTTGTTGATGAGATTAGATATGGTGGCATTAAGAGAGAAGTCAAGGAAGGCTAGGCAAGTTTTTTTGACCTCTATCTAAGAAGAATGAAGTTATCATTTACTGGGACAGGATGCGCATGGGAGGAAAGAATTTGTCATGGAAAACCATGAGTTCAGTTTGCCATATTAAGATGGGGATACTTATTGCAAATTTAGAAACAGATGTTGAGTAGGCAGCTGTTCATTGGATTTCTGAGAGGTCTGCGTTGGAGATGAAAGTCTGGCAGTCTTAGCACATAGACATTATTTAAATCATGGGAATTGATGTAGGAAAAAGTAGACAGAGAAGAGGGGCCTGAACTGAACCCTTGATAAGCTCCATCAGTTAGACATTGCCATCTCATGCCTAGTAGTCTTTTAATGAAACTGGTTTAATTTTTAAAGCTATCACTTATTACACCAGCAATTTCTAAACCCATCAAATGCATCAATGAGACACAGTAATGAACTAAAAAGATACCATACAAAACTCAAAAGAGAAACTCCATTTATGATTAGAGAAACAGTAAGCACTCAAAACATTTCCAATTATAGATGTTGTACAATCCTGTGGTTAAGTGCCTGATGTATGATATATTCAGGCAGTCTGGATTTTAAATCTGGTCTCTATGCTTATAGTCTGTGACTTGTCAGTAAGGCAAGGCACTTACTGTGCAGGTTCCTCAACAGTAAGTTGGAGGTAATTACGTTTTGGGTTGTTGTAAATGAATTAATACCTGAACTTTCCTTCTTAAAAAGTTATCTTACTATCAAAGACACCAAATCATTGAAACAAAAGTTGAGACCCTGCAGTTGATCACGCTAATTTGTCAATTAGCTGGGACTAGTAGCTCTGTGTTTAGATCTCAAAACAAGGCCAAAACATGTCCCTAAATTCAGTTCTCTTAACTAAAGGCGTACGCCTCCCCGTCTGTATTTTTAAATAAAGCCAAATACGTCGCCTAGTGCCTTAGTATCCAAAATGATCTTCGGAGGCAGAGGGGGAAAGGCAGAGGAGTCCTAGTTGACACATCAGGATGAGCGGTCTTGTAACGAGGTCCAGCTGTGACACGGGGTACCACGGCCCGAATCCTACTTAACCAGGTATGTGATCCTCTTGTCCCTCCTCTAGAGAATGAACGTGCTTTCGAAGATAAAGGTTAAACCAAGCTTTTGAATGGAAGTGCAGCTCAAACGCCGCGAATCCAACTCTACGACAGCAGAAGGGGGAGGAAGACTCCTCTCGAGTCACCATCTATCTCTTACCTTTAGTACCCAGGAGCGCCGTGGGGTCAGACTCTTCTCGGGAGGGTTAATGGGGAAACCCCGACCACGACCCCTGGGAGCAAGGCGCCGGCGCAAAGCTGCTACCCTCCCCATATTCCCTTCCTCTCGCGGGGCTCCGGGACCCGGGCTCCGGGTCCGGGCCCCAGGCTCTAACCTCCGTTCGCGGAGCGGTAGGAGAAACCCCGGGAAGAAACAATAGAGCCGCGGCGGCTGCCGTACCTCTCCCGGTCGCGGCCGTCGAAGTAGACGAAATCGCCGTTCTGGACGCACTTGGCACAGGTCAGCCGCCGGCGGGTGGTGTTGCACAGCGGACACCGCTCGACCGCCACGTACAGCCCCTCCGCGTCGTCCACAGAGTCCACCAAGTCCCGGGCGAGCGGCCGAGGCCCGCAGCCAGAAGCCTCCGGCGCCCGGGCTCCCTTCCCACTGGGAGACGCCATGATGGCCTGAGTGCGGAGCCAGTCACGTGGGATTTTGTTTTCAACCAGGTGCATCCTGGGCGAGGAGGAGGGGCCTGGGCGGCGCCGAGAGGGCGGGCGGGGTCCCGGCGAGCCCCTCGGCCCGCCTCTCCGAGCTCCGGGCCGCGTCTCCCGCCTGCACTGCGGCAGCCCGCCCCGAGCGTGGAGAATTAGCAGTTCGAGGGGCCAGTCAGCCAAACACCATGTCCTCATCCGCTTCAGCATGCCACGCCTACAGGTTGACGCCTCAGACTTGCGCGAGACATAGGAATAGGATGCCCGAGGGATTCGGGGAACACGGATTGGGAACAAAATAAGGGAATCTCTTCAATTCGCTATGGGTGCTTTTAAAATTGGCTAAACCTACTGCAAAGTCCGGGAGGGGGCCGGGTCGTGGAGGGAGGTACTTCGGCTGCCGGCCCGCCCCCCCCCCCCCCCCCCCGTGGCTCTCTCACTTCTCCGTACCTGTGTTCTTTCTTATCTGTTCGGTGGAGATCCGGCACCTACCCGACGTCGCGAGGATTAACAGGAACCTGAAAGTACTTTACTCGATAATAGAGAACAAGCGGAAACAATCGTGGAAACCAACGTTACCTTTCCGAAAACTGAATTTTAACGTCCAACATTCTTCTACTCTGGGCCATGCTCTGAGAAAGAACTTGAACCAGTCAGAATTTAACCTGATTTCGATTACTCCAAATTACTTTCTGTGGAGGTCAATAGGGGGAGTCGGAGGATTAAATCCGAGTACTGGTGTTTGAAAATGCCTCCAAACCACAGAAGGAAAAAAGAGAAGTGTGCCTGTAGGTCAGCTGACCTAGGCTAGGCCAGTGATTCTCAAGGATTATGTTGGTAGGTTGTCAACTGATGACTGCCCTGAATTCTCCAGCTGCGATTTCTCTCCCAAGTTCCACACCCAGAGAGTCACAACTGCCAAGGAGTTGACTGATGGACAGTGGCCACCACAAACGGGGCATGTCAGGAACAGCTCTCCCTCCTCACCAATCTGTTTCCTCATCTTGGTGAAAGACATAATCCCTGACCACTTGGGAACAAGAGCCATGAGTCATGTTAGCCCCATCCTCCCGGATAGCCTGTACATCGCCATCAAATTCTGAGGATTCCACAATCTAATTGGGTCTTGAATCTGAACCCTTTGTTTCATTCCCTTAGTCTTACCCCATCTGTTGCAATACCATGACATAAGACAACAGCACACACACAAAAAAGAAGTCCCTAAGCTGTTTTCAAAATAGAGCTTACACCAAACCTGAATGGTTCCTGAAAGTTTATTTTTAAGAAAGAGAAATCATTTCCGCTGATCATTTCAAACAAAAGGATAGTTTGTCTTAAGGTTTCAGACTTTTATGTTTCATTTGTATTCTGACAGGATCCTTCAAGGTGCCTGTATCTAATGGCCAGGACCATCTCCTCAATATTTTAAAAGGCAAAAATAAACACATTCATTTCTCTCCTGCTAGATGATGATGCAGATAGAATCTATTTGATGTAGTTATCTGAAATTTCTGTATATTCCTAGGTATTTTCAAAGAACACATGTTGATAGACTACATCTTTTACAAGAGCAGAGCATTATGTTTTAATGATTAAACATTAAATATCATTCTAGCAAGGCCCTAAATCAAGTTCTGAAATGTTTACTTTTTCGGTTTTTAAAATAACGTGTCATTTTGAAAAAGAAATTTCTTCAGTTCTTAGGCATGGATCCTCACAGGATCATCCTTTAACAAATAAAGTCAAAATCTGCATGAAAAATCTACAGTACAATGGTTTGTGTGGAGTTATGCACACTCAAATCAATATAACGTGAGATGCTGAATGACATACTCAGGCTTTTTTAAAACCCTTTAAAATAGGATAGATGTTTTCAAATGCTTCATAGATCTCAGAACGTTCTTTGGCACCTATAAAGAAATCCAAGTTTATATGATCTTTAATATATAGACAATACCCAAATTCTCTTAAATCTAAAATTTCATTGTCATCTCCAAGTACTTTAATATGAAGGCATCTCTTTAGGTTTACTGGAAAAGTGACATTTTGGTAAAGACAAAAGAACTTGGTGATGACAGCCATAGTCCCACAAACGCATACCTGAGGGCAGAGTTTTCTAGTACTTTACTACGTGGGTGTATCAGTTCATCTTTTGCCTCACAGAGCACAGTATGAAATATGGAATGTTATCTCTCAGCATGCCATGAATATGACCACAGAACAAGACCTTCATCAGCACCTGTGGACACTTAGATACCAGCAAAAGAGACTTCCTTTGATCCACTCAGGTCTAGTTAACACCTTGATTCCCTAATATTGACTAACAGAGTGCGAAAAGCATATATTTCATTGTATGAGGAGAGATTAGAGGAGGAAAACTGTACCACTGTTATTCCTTAGAGACTTAAGTTTCAAGGGGTCTTTAATTATAACTACTGTAGGGATTAAAATGGATTAAAACATTTATTAGACACGCTCCCTACTCTTGAGAGCTGGCAGTCAGATGCTGGTCATCCCTCACCACCACCCATTTCCACTAACTACTTCCACCTTCAAGCTATGCAGGCACAGTATTCTGAGGGTCATGGATGTACTGGTAGTACTGATGTTATATGGAGCTCTCAACTAATCAGGAAACTATTGCCTGATACCACTGTCAGGAGACAAGGAGATTAAAGAAAAGAATATAAAAACTGTTGGCATGAAGAGAAATGGAAAATTGCTTAAGTTGATTAAAGACTCTTATGAGCCATAAAGCTAAGGCTCGGTAAGAGAGAAACAACCCATAAGATAACCCATGGTTATCTGGCTTAATTACAAGACTAATGAGGGGAAATCACCAAAAGGAGGATCACCAGATTTGACAATCAGGTAGAAAGCAGGATTCAGAATCAAGGATGAGCTATAATACTACTTTTAAAATGGAAAATAGCAAAGTGTTGGCAAACATTGAGAAACTGAAACTCTCATACATTGGTGGTGGGAAGGTAAAATGATTTGGCCACTGGGGAAAACAGTTTGGCAATTCCTCAAAACTATTAAGAATTACCATATGACCCAGCAATTCTACTCCTGGGTATATGCCCCCAAATTGAAAACAGGTACCCCAACAATGCACATACAGACACGTATTCATCACAGCACTATTCACAATAGTCAAAAAGTGGAAATTATCCATTCATCTGTTGATGGACATGGGTTAACACATTGTGATATATATACATGCAATGGAATATTACTTAGCCACAAAAGGAATGAGGTTGTGATACATGCTACAGCGTGGATAAACCTCAAAAACATTATGCTAAGTGAAAGAAGCCAAACACAAAAGGTCACACATTGTATGATTCCGTTTACATGAAATATCCAGAATCAATAATTCCACAGAGACAGAACGCAGATTGGAGGTTGCCAAGGGCTAAGAGGAAGGAGGAATGGAGAGAAACTACTTAATGATACACTATTTTATTTTGGAGTAATGGAAATGTTTTGGCGCTAGATAGAAGTGGTGGTTGCAGAAATTGTGAGTGTGCTAAATGTCGCTGAATTGTTCACTTTAAAATGGTTAGGTTTATATTACATGAATTTCACTAGTTTTTAAAAAAGTGTTAAAGAATCAAAGATGAAGTCCTCATAAGCTTAAATTTATTTGAGAGACAAGGACAAAAAGTTACTTACTCCTTGCCAAGGAGTTTACTATATGTGAGTCTCCACTCTCAAAGATGTGGGGTAGGAAGAAGGGGGAGGAGGAGGTGAGTGACTGATGTGGATAACAAACTGTATCTTTGGGGTAGGAAAAGCCTTGTAAGCCTCAGATTTTTATTGCAGCACTAACATTTCAATTTCTCAAGTGATTGTTTTTTGTAGAAACAAAACAGTGAGTTAGGGAAGCAGTAAGTAAAACATCATTAAAAAAAACTGCCTCTAGTTTGATGGACTCTTTCTGCTTTTAGGTACATTTGAATGTGACAGCTTTTTTATTAGGAGGTAATGAAGTACAGTAGATCTAGCAAACGTCCACCTACCCATTCAACCTCCATCCCTACCCACAAAAACCAAGGTTCCTTTTATATTTGAGAAACAGAGGATCTAGGTCCAGCATTCCAGGTAACTATGTACTTCGGTTTTTCATAACACTTTAAAAAAATCATACCTAAGGGGATTTTGAAGCCCTAAAGTGTTTAGCATTCTGGCATCCACCAGAGAGCAGAAAACACCTCGCCCAGAAGGGAACAGACACAGAGAGTGATCATTATTTTATATCACAGAAAAACATCTATAGACACAAAAGGGCTTGGTAGAAATTAGCTAATACAATTTCCTTCATTTCCTTCATGGGAAAACTAGGCCCAAGAAGTTGAAGTCCCCCTGAACCATGAATAGCAGCTGTGTGTGAAGACCTCATGTATCCAGAATCCCTTCTAAAAGTCATCATCAAATAAACATGGGCAGCATTTGTAACTGGGTATTACAATGAGGGGATTTGCTCCCTCTAGGCAAATATTTCCTCACTGAAATATTGGTATCACAACTTAATGGGCACCTAATTGATCCTGTAGTCCTATCAATCTAGAATCGAACATCTCAGTTTGAAGCACCAGACTCTAGTTGGAGGACTCTTGCCTTTTAAGCAAACCTTACCAGTCTTTCCAAATACTTCAGGTAATAATGACCACCACTTTGGGTGATAAATAGCACTCCTAGCCATGGTGGCTGAAGTGAAAATTCCGTGGCTTATGCAATGAAGAAAGGACTGGCTTTGAAATCAGACTATATGGGCTTGAATGCCAGCTCTACCACTAACTAGGTTTGAAATCACAGGCAAATTGTTTAACTTCTGAGTTTCCATTTCCTTACCTGTAAAATAAGGACAATAGTTTTCTCAGAGGGTTGCTATGAGTTACGTGAATGTTTGTAAAAAGTACTTTGTAAACCATAACATTTTACAAAATCTAAGCCATTTTTAGTCCTAGAAGAAGGTGCTTCAGGATCAGGGATGTTGGGATGGCAGGTCCAAGTACACATGGTTTATCATCTGGTTCTGGAGGAGACAGTATCACATAACTTGTGTCCTTCCCTAGGGCTGATTCCTGGCAGGGGTTCGGGGGCACTGTATTAGATTTGCTTTTCCATCCTCAGCACCTAAAACAGTATGTGTACCTGATAGGCACGCAAAGTCTGTGAAATATCTGCCATCTGTCAATAAGGTTTATAAGCTCATCCCTACCCCTTAGCCAGCCCAAACATCAATTTCCAGTACTACCTGGATTTTCCAATTCTATTCTTAGACCAAGTGATAACTATACATCTTATTTTCCCAAGCGATACTCTATATGCGTGCACACAAGGGAAACTGCAAAAAAATAGCATTAAGCCCTTCAAAGTATACATTTTATAGTCCATACTAACTTGCTATTAATGGGCGATTCCTGGTAATGACTGACAGGGATATCATCTCTCTGGCCTATTCACTAATAAGTCTTGCCATTTTTATACTGCCCTCTGACCTTCTCATGTCTAAGAACTGCTGAGGTCTAGCTGATGGAGAGTGACCTTTAGTAGCAAAGACCCAGCTTCTTAAGAAGTCCATTATGCTGGAAGGAGAGAAAGAAATGTGAAGCATTTTAGACTCAAGACTAAAGCCTCCTTAGACTTCATATTGTTATCATCAGGGCAAGGCATCACAGCAAAACTCCAGTCTTTCAAAGCTAGTGGGGAAACGAGTGGGCTTTCACCAGGGGAATAACAGCTAACATCTATACTACATTGACCCTATGCCAGATACTGTGTTTTTTTTTTTTTTTTGCCTCCTCACATTTAGCAGGTAGTTTCTATGGCCAAGTGCCTTTTACATGTGTAGAAATCAAGGTGGAGAACTTAAACTCACCCAAGGTCATAGAGCCAATAAATGGTAAAGCCTGGATTCAACCTGGACCCTTGGTTTCGATAGCCCAGCCTCTCAGCCATCACACCTACTGCCTCTCACCACTCCTCCAGCTGAAAGGGAGGAGAGGGAGAAGCTGCCCTCAAAGACCACACAGGTCTTTGCAGAGACATCTAAAGAGCTGGGAGACAGGGTGAGTACATGAAGATGAGGGGACTCCGGAGCCAAGCTGCTCAAGTTCCCACCTCTGCTGCAGCCGGTACAACTGTTTGACATTGTTAAGGTTACTTCTCCACTGTCCCCACTTTACAGGTGAGGAATGGGGATATATAGTATAACCTCAATGAGTTAACTAGAATCCACATAAAATCCCTTATCACAGGGCCTGGCACATACATGCCCAACACACGTTAACTTTAATGTGTCTGATCATTTGTTAGCTTTCAGCTAACAAATTTGTTGTACATTGTATATTATTCCAGCAGATACTAGCTATATTAGTTTTACTGTGGTTTGAGGGAGGAAAAACCCCAAAAAGCAAAAACCTAGGTTTTAAATTCATACCAGCCATAGAAAAACACCATGGGCTTGGGAAAACAGTGTTAAGTGTGGCCCAGGTCCCATTGCTTTTTGCTGTCAGGGACCATGACACAGTAGGATACTATGATTTCTTTGCTGTCAGCTCACTCAACTATAATGAGAACATTCAGACATGGTAGTTGGACGTGGTAGCCACAGCCCTGGCACTTCAGGGGAGTAAGACAATTTCACATGGATGAATTGTTGTCAGAGGCCCTGAAAACAGCACGTGATACAATGGTTTAGATTCCACTTATGACAGGTATGCTGGTGTTGTACACCTCCTACCTAGGGAAGGGCTGGGATCCATTATTTAATTATAGTGAAATGCAAAGTGCATTCATTTCAGTACTCTAACCTTTTCTAGGTGAAAGTTATTCGCCCTTGTTGGGACCTTTCGAAACAGCTCTGCAGAGTCTTGCCATGTCAGAACAGATGATGTGTGCCTCTCTGGGTCCCCTGGACACTCCACGTGACCATCCTCAGCTAAAGTTCTAGAGGCAAGGCTGAAAGGAGGCCTCCTTGGTCCCTCTCCTCCAGTTGACACTCAAATTGAGCCCTTGAGTTTTTAAACCGTTTGCAGGTGAAAATAGATTAGATATATAAGGATAAAGAAGAGGAATGTTTGCCTTGACATTTGAACCAAAATAACCTAAACCATATATTTTAGGCAAAGTACTTTAGGACAATACAACACAAGCAGGGAAAAATCCCAATAGATATTACTCATATTTCAGGATTATGACACTTACTGGCTTTTACTTCATAGTGTAAGCAGAAATTTGGACTGCAGTTAATACAACTCATTCCCCTCTTCACAAAAGTTATGATCTACATCTGGCAAAAATGAAGAAATTTAGCTTTGTTCTACATGCTGAATGCATAACAAATTTTAAGGGAAGTGTATTACATGGACTGGGTATTGTGTGTGGAGAATTCTGCCATTTGAAACTTGTAGCACTCAAGTTTTTTTTCTTTTTCTTTTAATTGGGGCAAGTAGGAAAGCTGGTTTGAATTAAGGCTATTTAAAGGGACTTGTTTTTGTGTATCTATAATAGAAACTTAGCCTGTACCTGTCAATTGGCACTTTTAATAAGACTGATTAATGATATGTAGCAAGTATATGAAAGTGTCCTTCACAAGGTCTTGAAAAGTTTGTTCCCTTAAGTAGGACATAGGTTTGCCCCAATATTTATACTATTCAAGTTACTTGGCAGATTCCACCCCCCTTCCTTCAGGACACATAGAAGTAAACTTTATGTCAGTCACTAGGAGGTCTTAATTATTCTCGACTCTAAATTGGCAGCATCTGAGAAACCATAGCTTTGTTGTATTCAAAAGGTTCTTGAATTCCAAATAGGCTTTCTGCACTTTGAAGACACATTAGTTACTTGTTACAGTAAAACAAACTATGGAACTTTACTGAGAGTTCTAAAAGAAGACTTAAAAACAGAAATTCCATGTTTTTGGATGCTAAGTGGTAACTTATCACTCTCCCCACAAATTCAGGTTATGTAAAAAACTCAAATTTTTTTTAGATGGGGCAAGATTTTATAAAATTCTAAAGCTTATCTGGAAGAATAAATATTCAAAAGAAACTAAGAAACATAAAGCAAGAGGGGAAACTGATGCTAGCAGATACAAAGATCACGAAAATCAAAGCACATTTATACAATAGTAATATATACAATAGGATTAGCTTAGTATAATTAGCAAAGGCAGGACTGGAGAACAGACCCATATATAAAGGTCAAATGCAGTCATCACAAAGTAATAATGAGAGTAATATGTAGTAGTAAGATGGTGGCTGGCTATTTGAGGGTGGGGCATAATCAATTTGGCTCCTGCTATGTAAATTTGGCATTCATCTTGATACAGAATAACAAAATATGCAAAAAATCAGATAATATTTAACAAAAATAGCAAACTTCAGTAAGATAGTATGGAAAAGAGTCTCAACCATTTACCTCAAGAATTTTAAAAACCTTTGTTATGTAAAAATAAGCCCACTGGAAAAAGCTATAAGTATAAAAAAGAGTTATTACTTTCAATATTATGGCAAACTCACATAACTCTTTAGGGGAAAGTAATTAAAAAGTTGGCAGAAAGATCAAGTTATGTACACACTATCTACAAAAGATTAAATGCTATTTCTTGAGTATATTAAAAAAAAAGTCCTCAATTTCCATTTCTGATTACCAGTGAGGTTAGAGCAGTGAGATCATTTTCACTTAAAAAGTTAGTTTTCTTTTGTGCCATTTTTGTTTTGAACACTCTTGAAGGCTTGTAAAAGATACTTAAATACATTGCTGGTATGAATGTATAACGTGAGAAAACTATATTGTGTCTCCTTTAAAAAACAATTGGGTAATTTGTCCTCAGAGCCTTAGGAATAGTCATATCCTTAAACAAAAGTTCCATTTCTGAGCATCCACATTAATAACATAATTCTCCACACATAAATATAGCCAAATGTCTGTGCCATTATAAGTAGTGAACAAAGAAAGAACATTTAAATACTTGACAGTAGAAAAATAAGTTTGATATGATAATGTGTTACAACAGAGGTCAGGAAACAGTCGATTAGTCCTGTTTTTGTATAGCATGTTAGCTAAAAATGGTTTTAAATTCAATAGTTTAAGTGGTTGGGGCAAAAAAAATCAAAGAATATTACATGACACATGTAAATTACATAAATTATATGAAATTCACATTTCAGCACACTTTATGTGATGCCTATAGCTATTTTTGCACTAGTGGCAAAGTTCAGTTGTTGCAATAGAGACTTTATGGCCACAAACCCTAAAATATTTAGTGTTTGGCCCTTTACAGAAAAAAGGTTTGATGACCCCTCTGTTATAACACTGCACAGCTACTAAAAGTGTTCTTGAGGAGTTTGTAACAATGAACTAAGCTACATGTTATAATGGTTAATAAAAAGGCAGGATGTAAAGATAAATATACATATCAAAATCCCATAAAAACATGAAAAAAAACTATAGTGTTTGGGTATTGAGACTAATGGGTAGTATTATAATCCTTTCTACTTTTCATTTTTTTCCAAGTGTTCTACAGTAGCAACACTTAATTTATAATGGTAAACAAAGCTATTAAAAAAGGAGAAGCAAAGCAACACATAGCTATTGAATTTTATGAAAGCCGGAAGATAATCTTAGAACTCACCTGTTAACACAACTTTCCCAGATACAAAGATAAGCAACACAATTCGTGGTTTTACCATTCTATAAATAAGGCCAGGAAACAGTTCAGGTTCATAACTGTTCAGATATAAAAGGAAAAAGTTAAAAATAATACTATTTAAACATTTTCCCATAATATTCAGGACCCAGCATATTAAAGCTATTTACCAAAAACTTTTGGCTCTCTTAATAAAAATAGTCTGGAGTGCCCTAGGCAGTTTCTTGTGGCAGTCAAGAATAGAATTCATCTTTGGTAATAACATTTTTTCGAGTGCAGGTCAGCCTGAGCTATTAGAAATTAAGGTAACTTAGGGCATCAAATATAATGTAGTAAGATATTGTTGGTTTATAAAAGTCTATCAGGGGATCCCTGGGTGGCTCAGCGGTTTAGCGCCTGCCTTCGGCCCAGGGCGCGATCCTGGAGTCCCAGTCCCGCATCAGGCTCCCGGCATGGAGTCTGCTTCTCCCTCTGCCTGTGTCTCTGCCTCTCGCTCTATGTCTATCATGAATAAATAAATAAAATCTTTTAAAAAATTAAAAAATTAAAAAGTCTCTCAAAAGTATATAAGCATGTTTTCTAAATTTTCCAAGTTTCCCAATAATGAGCATATTTTGTATGTATTTATAAACTGCTAAAGATAACAAATTTAGAAGATAGAACCTAAAAAGTTTCTAGACCACCATCATTTGTCTCTGGACAGATTCTGTAAAGAAAACTAAACAATCCCAAGTTTTAAATATTTAGAATTTGTGGGGTGCCTGACTGGCTCAGTTAAAAGGGCATGGGACTCTTCATCTCAGGGTCATGAGTTCAAGCTCCTTACTATTTACTACTATAAATAGTAACTCACTCATATTTACTATTAAATGTAGAAGGATGATAGGGTTAAGAACTGCATCTTCAGGAGCCAGCACAGAGAAGTAGAGACTCCTAGAAAGGCTTAACAAGATTTCAAAAAAGAAAGTTTTTTTTTTCTTTTTTCTTTTCTTTTTTTTTTTTTTTTTTTGTTTATTTATTATAGGCACACAGTGAGAGAGAGAGGCAGAGACACACAGGCAGAGGGAGAAGCAGGATCCATGCACTGGGAGCCCGACGTGGGATTCAATCCCAGGTCTCCAGGATCGTGCCCTGGACCAAAGGCAGGCGCCAAACCACTGCGCCACCCAGGGATCCCTCAAAAAAGAAAGTTTTAAGAGGAAACTGACAAAATAAAAAGCAATGGGTAAGAATAGATATAAGAAGAAATATAAGAAATGGAACACAATACATGTAAATCTTTGCATTTAATAAGTGAATCCAGGGCAGCCCAGGTGGCTCAAAGGTTTAGCACCACCTTCAGCCTAGGGCATGATCCTGGGGACCCGGGATCGAGTCCCATGCCAGGCTCCCTGCATGGAGCCTGCTTCTCCCTCTGCCTCTCTCTCTGTGTGTGTGTGTGTGTGTGTGTGTGTGTGTGTGTGATGAATAAATATTTTTTAAAAAGTTAATCCAAACCACACAGAAAAACTACATTTCATTCCGCAATGAATAAGACCCAAACAACAGCAGATGTGAAATCTCTTACCAGTACCAGAATGGTGTGCTACAGTGGGGAGACTACCCTTCTGAATTATATGGAGGTTAGTATGGGTAGACTTATCTTCCTGGGACATCACTCTTATGGCAGAAAGCCTATCAAGACTTTACCCACTTACCACTTTCCAACACTGAGGAGTCAATGATACTAGTTGGAGCCCTGGAAAATTTGTATAGGAGCTGTGAGGTTTGAGCCAAGAAAGTGAAAGCTAGGGGCATAGAAGATTCTATTTGATCTTCCAACAGAATATTAGCATTTTAAAGAGAAAAGAGTGGATGCCTGGGTAGTTCAGTGGTTGAGGCTGAGCATCTGACTCTTGGTTTTGGCTCAAATCATGATATCACAGTGGTTGAGAATGAGCCCCACGTTGGGTTCTGCACTTAGCAGGGGGTCTGCTTAGGATTCTCTCACTCTCCTTCTGCCCATCCCCATGCTCAAGTTCTCTTTCTATCTCTCTCTAAAATAAAAAATCTTTAAAAAAATAAAGGGAAAAGATAATACCAAAGTCATCGGTAGGTAAGTGATGGCAAACTGCAATTGACTTTCAGAAACACAGTTTTAAGATACCAGCATAATGAATTTCCAATGAGATATTTATTTCATTTTATTTATTCTCTGCCTCATTTCAAAAGAAGGTTGAGGCGGGGGTGGGGAAGATATTTTGGTTGGAGATGGAGAATTTCGTGGGTTCAATAACAACAAACACTTGCCAATCTCTTGGTCAACCCAATTTCAACTCATCGGTCAAGTCTTCGCTTAAATGTCACTTTCCTTAAGAACTTTGACCTTCACACTCCCTCCTCCTGTGACATTAAATATTTTGCTTAATGGTACCATAGCACTCCAAGGGTGTTCACCTTCATAGCTACCATATTATATTTAGCTTCTCTGTCTTCCTGTTTTGACAGTGAGCTCCATGAGAGCAAGGGACCATGACTATGTATTTTTTCTTCTTCCTTTTCCCTCTTTGAGAGGGAGTGGGGGAGAGGGAGAGAATCTCAAGCAGGTTCCATGCTCAGCATAGAGCCCAATGTGAGGCTTAACCTCATAACTCTGAGATCATGACCTAAGCCAAAATCAAGAGTTGTATACTCAACTGACTGAGCCACCCAGGCATCCCAGACCATGGCTGTACTACCATAATCACTGTAGTATCTGTTACACAGTAGCCACCTAGATATTACTCACTTAAGAAATATTATCAGGATATCCTTGATTTAGAAACTAAAGGAAGGGAAAACAATGCTCAGGGAAAACTGGAAATAATTATGGCATAGAAATATTGACAGAGGGGCAGCCCCAGTGGCTCAGCGGTTTAGCGCCGCCTGCAGCCTAGGGCGTAATCTTGGAGACCCAGGATCGAGTCCCACATCGGGCTCCCTGCATGGAGCCTGCTTCTCCCCTCTGCCTGTGTCTCTGCCTCTCTGTGTGTGTCTCTCATGAATAAATAAATAAAATCTTAAAAAAATAAAAAAAGAAACAAAAAAAGAAATACTGACAGGAGGGGCCAGTGACAAGAGCAATACTTGTGGTATCAGATGCTAAAACACAAACTTGTAGAGCCAGGGGAATGAAAGGAACTGGAGGTTTTAGCCTAGGCAAACTTGACCTAATAATTACAACTGACATGTGCCATGGTTCCCCATAGGGCTGCAGACAATTAAGGAGAGATCTCATTTTAAAGACACAAACCTGTTGAGAAAGAAGTGTTTAAATGCCCCAATGTCATCAATACACACACTGGAGCTGTAATCCATAGTCTGAGGGTGGAGCCTGAATGGCAAACCTTTGTAGGAGGCAAGAATATGACTAGGAAGAGATAGTGGTAGGAATATAATGCATATTTTCTGGCTAAATTTTTTTAAAAGATGGATGAGATAATAAAATTGGTTCAGAATGAAGATAGAACAGTGATCGACCTACTCTAAGTGGCTAAAATCAGTCCATTTGAAGAATTCTCATCCTGCCCTGCTGGCCATTTTACCTTTCAGAAGGTGGAAATAGTGACAATAAGCACTCCCACTCTAGACTTACAAAGATGACAATGTTGGTGAAAAAGAGAGGGAATTTGGGAGAAATAGCACGCATCATTTTAGAGCCCTAAACAGCCAGAAAGTGGAGTGCTAAATCTAATACAGACAGGCAGAATTTGAGCAGAGATCTTTCATACATTCAGAAAAAGTTGGTTCAGAGAGAGAGACAGGCCAGAAGCCCATGAATGAGAATATGGAAGAAAAGATGGCTCATGTGTTGAGAGACTCCTAAAAACAAAGGTTTTACTACGAATTCACAACCCATCCCAAGATTAAAGAAAGAAAAAGATACCTAAAGAGGCATTATTTCCTGCATGGGGGCACTTCCCAGTGAGCTCAATGGGTACATCACAGGCACCCAATAAGCATATGCTGAAAAAAAATTAGTGCAGAGGAAAAAAGAAAATACAATCGGGGGGGGGGGGATAAACAGTGCCTGAATAATATCATCAAAGCTAAATCTCAGCATGAACTAGGATTTTTGAAAAGCTAGGAAAAAATAAAGCAATTTTTAACAGCTGTTCAGATCATGCCTCAAAAAGAAAGTCAACAAATGTTAGAGAAAGCACAGCTCTGTCACTAGGAACTCTGTCACTAGGAATGATCACTCAAAGGCAAAGAGGAGGAAAAGTGGAGCAAAAGGACAGAATTTCAGGCTAGAGGAAGAGAATTTAAGAGCATCTGTCATTGTAGGCAGCACAAGAGGCTTGGCTAGGTATATCGGCTGCAGGGCAGTGTGCTCCAGTGCTGACCAGTCCACCTTATTCACTGATGAGGGCCTGATAGGCTGGAATAATCACCAAAGCAGCTGAGGAAAGAGGACATGGTCTGTGCATTTGCTGGTGAGATGGGAAGTTACTGTGAAGAAGCAGGCTACAGATGCTCCCTGAGGAACAGGGCTGCACTGAAGAAGGGGGTGGGGGGGGACCTGTTGCTACACAAACACATAAAAACCCCTGTGAGCCATCAGCCCCTTCTACCTGACCCATCTCCTACCCCTCCTCCTCTGGCATTGCCACCACCAGCAAGCCAAGTGTGCCTGTTTCAGAAATCTGTAGGGCAGTTGAGTCTCAAGGTTCTGGCAAGAAGGACAGACATCACCCGTGAGCTTGTTAGAACTGCAAATTTAAGCAATATCTATGATGATGCAGCCTAGGTAGGAAAGGGTTTTAATCAGCTGGCCAGGTGAGTAACTTTACAGGTGAATAATCAGCTGGCCATGTAATTTAATTTTGAGAACCATGGTTTCAGAAGATCAGACAGAGACAGAACCAGGAAGGATTTAAGCACAGCACCTGAATTCCTTCCCATACAGTCTTTAAAAAGAAAAATACCATTTTCTTGGAAAGATATACTAGATAAGCAGCCCATAATACAACAGCTTCAAGATCTTGGTCAACTCAGAATGTTATAGAACAGTCATACCTACTGAACTGCTGGTGAGTTAACACCAAACCTTCCAGACTGATGGCAAATCTCACATCACAGCTTCCAACCATGTTCTGAATTTTAAAATCGAGGAATCTGGCTGGGAACCCCAGCTTCTGCACCACACGAGCATACTTCCTCGCTGCGAGTCGAGACTGCTCTTCACTGGGGAGGGACAAATGTATTTGAAGAGGTCTTAATCACCATGCCCTCTATACTGCTTGGGCTGTTTTCACACACTTCCCTGATTGTACTTTTACATCTATACCGTGTTTATCTTTCAACGTATACTACAAACCTGTAGATATTGAGGACCAGGACCAACTTCCCCTACTTTCGTCCCTAGCACCTAGTCAGAGGTATAACACAATGGTCACAACCAAATCATAAACACATTTTCATCTGAATTTGTCATCTTCCACACATAGGGTTTTCTCTTTTACTTGTTTTAAACACTATTAGATACAATTAACTATTCCACAGTTTCTCAGAGTGTGTCCTCAGACCTGCAGCAGCATCACTACTTGAGAACTTGGTAGAAATGCAAAGTCCCCGGTCCCAGCCTCACGCACTCTGGGGCTAGGGCACAGCAGACCGTATCTTTTTTTTTTTTTTTTTTTAGCAGTCCATATCTTAACAAAGCCTCAGGATTGTGACACTCAGTAAAGTCTAAGAACATCCTTCCAGTCTAAAAGCACAAGCCACTTAGATGGGAACAACGGCAACAAAAATAAGGACACATGCATAAAATCACATGAGGAAGTAAGAGGTATGCCAATTGGGTGGCAAAGATGACGTGGGGACTTGGATCTTCATGCGACATATATATATATATATTTATATATATAAATTATATATTTTCTAAAACATGAAAACAAAATCTGCCCAGTAACACCTCAAAATCTACCTGGTTTTGTTCAGGCTTTCTCACAGAACGGTCACTCAACTGACACCCAACGTGAGAAAGAAATTCATTCAATTCTGTGGCTATACTCTTCCAACTGTTTGTCCTGCTCTGACCCTAAATCCAGGTCACAGAATGTGAAGTTCTAAGATGTGAGGCTTTATTTTTCATTACGTATGTTTCAATGGTCACTGGCAAACGAAACCATGAGTAGCAGGGATTGCCAAACAGGGACAAAACCTGGTGGGTGAACCATGTGAACCCCGCTCTCTCTTATGGGTTGCCCCATCTTTATGTTGAAAAATCAGACATCTGAAAGACAAGCTAGATTGAATTTGTTGTTTGCCTGGACCAAAGGAAGCATTCCATTCTCTTTCCTATCTAGATTCTTCACCATACTGCCCCACTTATGTGTATTAATTCCTTCACATGTTTCACTCCATTCCACGTTGCTTCTCTTCACCCACTTCTAACTCCTGAGATGTCTCTAACAAGGTCATGTCTCCAAGTTAGCAGCGAAATAAACAGTTTCTATTAAAAAAATACATTTTTCCAAATGGGCCATGACATTTCCCATCGTGCTCATGTTTGTAAAGTCAAATTTTAGGAGTCTGGGTAGTCCTGTAGTTTCATGGGGTATTAGTTGTGAATGTGACATAGAAATTCCCGAACAACTTGTGGCTAAAGTCTACATATATGTTTCCTAATGTTTTTTCAGGAACAGAGTAAGAACTTTGAAATATCACCACCAGGGGTGATAACCCCTGATTACATTTGACCCTTTTATGCCTTTCCTGTGCAAACACAGGTATCCTTCATTAGCAAACTCTGGTTATTATAGATAAAAGAACATGTTTGGATACATTTTTGGAGATAATTCTCATAAGTCTTAGACTAACTAAAATTTCACAAATCTCTACCCAAGACTCAGGAACCAAACAGATTTGGGGAACAAGTATCTCTTATTATCTAAACTTGTATCCAAGCTTTCACCATCACCTTTTGGAAACCAGATCAATTCAGATAGGGAAAGATACTCAGGAATATGTGTGTAATACAAGCACATTTTAAAGTGAAAGCTGGATAATAAACTTACAATTTGGTTGCCTGTCCCCCTACAACTTAACACAACGTGACCATCCTTCTAAATTGACATATGTGTTTTAAGAGCTAAATATAATTTTATGATCTAATCAAAATTCTAAGTATTTGTCTCCCTCATTTTAAAATTTTTGTTCCCCCCCTTTTAAGTACTGCTGAAATGAACATCTTTGCAGATACCTTGCAGAGTTGTCCAATAAGGATTTAAAAATGGGAGATTTCTAGATCCAAGGGTACATGGATCAATAGAAGAGAAAGCCCAGAAACTTACCCAGATACATGCAAAGAATTTAATGTGTAAAAACAGGTGGAAGGAAATGTATTGAGAATGGATTCATTACATAGATGCAAAAAATCCTCAACAAAATATTACCAAACCATATACATTAAGCAGATCATTCACCATGATCAAGTGGGACTCATTCTGAGGATGCAAGAAGGATTCAATATCCACAAAGCACTCAACAGGATATACCACATCAACAGAACAAAGGATAAAAATCATTTGATCATCTTAATAGATGCTGACAAAACATTTGACAAAATTCAACATCCATTTGTTAAAAAGACTCTCAACAATGTGGGTTTAGAGAGAACATACCTTAGCCTAAAAAAGGCCATATATGAAAAACCCACAGCTAATATCATACTCAATGTGAAAAACTAAGAGCTTTCCTTCTAAGATCAGGAACAAGACAAGGATGTCCTCACCACTCTTACTCAACATAATACTGGAAGTCCTAAACACAGCAATGAGACAAGAAATAAGAGGTATTCATACTGGTAAAGAAGAGATTAAACTGTCATGTGCAGATGACATGATACCATCTATAGAAAATGCTAAAGACTACCTAACAACTACTAGAAGTAATCAATGAATTCATTAAACTGAAGGATACAAAATAAATACCCAGAAATTGGTAATATATCTATATGTTAATAAAAAAGTAGCAGAAAGAGAAATAATGAAAACAACTCCACTTAAAATTGCACCAAAAAGGACAAAATACCTAGGAATAAACTTAACCAAAGAGTAAAAGACCTGTACTCTGAAAACTATAATACATTGATTAGGGCAGCTCTGGTGGCCCAGAGGTTTAGCACTGCCTTTGGCCTGGGGCCTGATCCTGGAGACCTGGGATAGAGTCCCACGTTGGGCTCCCTGCGTGGAGCCTGCTTCTCCCTCTGCCTGTGTCTCTCTGTCATGAATAAGTAAATTTTAAAAAATACATCAATGAAAAAAATTGAACATAAACAAATGAAAATATTCCATGCTTACAGATTGGAAGAATATTGTTAAAATTGCCCATATTATCTAAAGCAATCTATAGATTCAATGCAATCCCTATCAGAATACCAACAACGTTTTTCACAAAACTAGAATACCAAATTTTGTATAGAACCCCAAAGACCCCAAATAGTCAAAGCAACCTTGAGAAAAAAAAAGCTGGAGTTATCACAATTTCAGATTTTAAGATATACTAAAAAGCTGTAGTAATCAAAACACAAAAACAGACATATAGATTAATGGACAGAGAGTCAAGAAAGAAACCTGTGATTACATGGTCAATCTATGACAAAGGAGACAAGAATATAAAACAGGGAAAATACTGTTTCTTCAATAAACAATGATGGGAAAATGATAGCTACATGTAAAAAAAAAAAAAGGAAAGAAAAAAGAAACTGGACCACTTTTTAGCACCCTACATGAAAATAAACTCAAAATGGATTAAAGACCTAAATTCAAGACCTGAAACCATAAAAATCCTATAGAATAGTCAGTAATTTCTGATATCAACCATAACAACATTTTTCTAGATATGTATCCAAAGACAAGGGAAACAAAAGCAAAAACAAACAATCGGGACTACATCAAACTAAAAAATTTTGCATAATAAGGAAACCATCAACAAACCAAAAAGCAATCTACTGAGTAAGATATTTGCAAATGACATATCAGTTAAGCAGTTAATATCCAAAATATATAAAGTACTCATACAACACCAAAAAATAATCCAATTTAAAAATAGGCAGAGGACCTGAACAGATATTTTTCCCAAAGAGGACATACAGATGGCCAACAGACATATGAAAAGATGCTCAACCTCACTCATCATCAGAGAAATACAAATCAAAACCACAATGAAGTATCACCTTACACCTGTCAGAGTGAGTGAAATTAAAAAGACAAGAAATAACAACTGTTGATGAGGACGTGGAGAAAAAGGAACCCTTGTACACTGTTACTGAGAATGTAAATTGGTGCAGCCACTGTAGAAAACAGTATAGAGGTTCCTTAAAAAATTAAAAATAGAAATACCCTATGATCCAATAATTCCACTATTGGGTATTTACCCCAAAACACTAATTTGAAAAAATAAATGTATTTCCATGTTTACTGCAGCATTATTTACAATAGCCAAGATATGGAAGCAACCTAAGTGTCCATTGAGAAATGGAGGATAAGGAAGATATATTTTATATAGATAGATAGAGATAGATAGATATGTTTTATGTATATATATATTATGCCATCATAAAAAAAGGATGAGATTATGCCATTTGAGACACTATAAATGGTCCTAGAAGATATTAAGCTAAGTGAAATAAGTCAGAGTAAGAAAGGCAAATACCATGGGGAATGCCTTCTTAAGCATGAAGCCAAACATCAAAACCCTAAAGAAAAACTGGACTGTACACACACAAAAATTTTAATTGTATAAAAAAATAAAACACCATTAACAGTAATTTGGAAAATAACAATTATAGTATAAGCAGAAATACTTACATACAAAAAGCCTTTTACAAATGACAAATATCTCCATAGGCTATTGGGCAAAAGATACAGTAGGCAATTTACACACTTTACGAAAAGTTAGTCTCACTAGCAAATTAAAGACATGTAATCAACGTTTTTTTTTTTTGCCAAACCATTTGGCAAATATAAAAAAGAGTATTAATATCAATGTTCCTTGGAGAAAATGAATCTTGGTGTATCTCTAGAATTAAGATAAATTCGTACAACCTTTCTGGAGGACAATTTACTACTCATCTTCTAACACTTACAGGGAAGAGCAGCTCTCACACTACCGTTTTATGGTGAATGCATCTAGATCAGCACAGGGCTTACTCTGCATGAGGTCCAGGAAAAATGAGTCTTTTAAGAGTTGCTTCCAGAGCTAATGCTCAAGATAATGGTCAAGAAGTACCTAATTTGCCTCTTTTATAAAGTTCTAGCCATTTATCTGCAATAAGGAAAATATACAATAACTACTATCCCAGGCTTATAATAGACTTTACCACTACCATAGTTTTTAAGTGCACAAGTTTTTAAGAATAAGTTCTAACAAGTTCTAACAGCCTAGCTAAGTCCCCTCAGTTTAATGGGGCAGCTGCAAAGTGAGACATAAGTCATTATTACACAGCTGAATGTTTTTAACCACAAATTTGCCATTTCATGAACTTCAGCAAAATATTTTGCTTCTCCCATGTGTTTTGCAACATGGATACTATCCTTCCTTGTTTTGCACCCTGAATTATTTGTCTGATAAGGGTGGAAGGTGGTTCCACATACCTTTTGGCTCCTGTGCAGACCATTTTCCCAGAACTAAATATGAGGGCTGTCGTTCTGGGCTCTCGGATCCTCATTATGACAGCAGCAAACCTCTATATACAGAAGTCAAAGGACAATTAGCCTCTGCTAGAATTTAACACTATTCCAGTTGAAAAGCTGAGCTGGACATGAAAACAAACAGAGATTGGATGGGAAAGCAAAACAATGTCTCCTCACGCTAAGGTAAACAAAAATAATTCTAAAAGGTCCTTAAGAAAAAAACAAGAATAAGAACAATAATGCTAAAATTTGAGTGTCTATTCTAATTCAAGCCCAAGGCTAAGAGCTCTACAAGTTTTGTCTTTTTTTATCCTCATGACAGAGCTCAATTGAGCCCATGATTATCACCATTTAGTACACAGGGAAACTAAACGGTTAACTTCCAACATTGCACAGGCAATGGTAAAGCTGAAATTTAAAGCCATGACTAGGGACACCTGGATGGCTCAGTGGTTGAGTATCTGCCTTTGGCTCAGGGTGTGATCCTGTGGTCCTGGGATTGGGCTCCCTGCTGGGAGCTTGCTCCTCCCTCTGCCTATGTCTGTCTCTCTCTGTATGTCTCTTATGAATAGATAAATCTTCAAAAAAATATAAAGCCATGACTAATCAGATGTTATGCCATTTACTCTGAAATACTTCCTTTTTCTTTCAAAGAATATTTCGTGGAGGGGAGGGAGTACGAGGTGTGTTGTAGGCTTGCCAAGACCCTAGAATGTAGTAAAAAATAGCCAAAATATAGAACAGAATATATATATTGATAGGTATGAAGAAGAATGACAAAAAAATGATGTGTCATTTTTGAATGAACCACCATAGCAGTTCTCAGTATGGTCTGTAGCCCAGCAGCATCGGGAAGCACTCCAGGTGGTGCTGATACAAGGGGCGCTGAGGATGGATGCCTGGCCTGACACAATGACATGTCACCAAAAACCTGCTCCTCTTCCTGGCCCTACACAGGCACCGGCTTCTCCTGCTCTCATCTTACCCTAGCAAGCTGAGAAGGAAACCTGAGAAGGGTGAGTATTATGCAAGACTGCAGCTTCCATGGGTTGAGGGGGGGTCTATAGGACCAAGAAAGGACTAGCAATTTCAGATTAGAAATGCTGACAAACAGTGAAATACCCTGAGTCCAGCACTACAGAGTTGATGGAATCTTGAGAATGTTTTCCAAGTGTTTAAGGTAACACTCTTACCCAGTATTCATTTTATTAAATTTGTAAGGTAGCTTAAATGCCAAGCCAGAATTTCTCTGGCTGTCAGGTCCAAGTTTGGATAGTTCCTATATACAACAATAAAATGGAGAGCAGAGCGTGATGGACAATAAAATATGCTTGAGGCACCTGGGTGACTCAGTGGTTGAGCATCTGCCTTTGGCTCAGGTCGTGATCCCAGGGTCCTGGGATCAAGTCCTTCATCAAGCTGTCCACCAGGAACTGCTTCTCCCTCTGCCTATGTCTCTGCCTTTCTGTATCTCATGGATAAATGGATAATATCTTTTTTTTAATGCTTAAATATGCTGATTTAATGGCGTGGGCAATCATGGCTGCAGCCATAAGAATCCTAGCTTATCATTGTGATTTTGTGCTCATCATAGCCAGCTACATGAAATAGGAAAAAAAAAGAAGGAAATATTTGGCTAATATTCAAGTACATTTAAATTTGGGTGTCAGCAAGAACATTCCCACAACAGCAAAAACAACTTAATCCATAAATAGCTGATGCTGACAAGGTCCTCTGCATTCCTACAAATATGGCCTTTTTCATCTAAGGCCATAAATCCTCTGCCACCCAAGACTGTGAACTCTTCCTTAGTAGGGATCAGGTCTTTCTCATCTCTGCACTCATAAGTACAGAGACCAGCAAATTACTAAATGTTGATCAAATGAACAAATCTACCTCCTAGGATAATAGACCATTAAAACTGGATGCCTACACTTGGCAGGACACAACAAAGAGTAGATTTTATTAAATTTGAGCAAAAAAGAAATCCCTGAATCTTACATTGGTAAGCAGAAGCTTAAACTTCACATTTTCAACAAGGCAGTGCTCTCAAGCAAGACAAATTGTAATAGAAAAATATGTGTCAGGTAGGTGGGATAACATTTAGAAAAAACTACTTCCAGAACTACGATAGCATTTTAAGAAAGTAGCATCCCCATTGACCGAGAGTGGTCATACTGAAAAATCTTTTTTTGAATGACAAGGGGTAAAATCTTAACTTTTAGGAACTGCTCAATCACCATCTTATTCACCACAGAGAATGACGTTATTTTTTATTACTTCAAAACAAACAATGATGCAACTAACCTCTTGAGTCGCCAAAGGTTTGCACTAACAATTTTTTTGTTTTAAAAACAAAAACAAAGAAACAAGTCAATAACATGATCATATGAAGTAAATCTAAACAAAAGCTAATTGTTGAAAGGAATACTGAGAAATCTCACCTTAGGGTTATACTCTGCATTTTTTGCATGCAAAGCTATTTTCTTCAGATCCAATTTACAGGCCAGGTTTACAGTGGAAACTATATTCCTGAAGAAATAAGTTAACTTAGAAAATTACATCAGACATAAAAAGTTAAAAAAAAAATTAAAATGTATTGACTTCCTCATTTATAGATTGTAGAAGATTAGCAACTTCTAGGAAGAAAATTATTCTCAATGTGAAATACACAGTAACGTGAAGGACCCTAGTAAAATATACAAATTCCAAAGAGGAGTACTAAAATAGCTTTTTCTAAAATGTCATGCCTAGCTATGAGAAAATTTTAAGTCTTTTTCAAAACCATGTCTCAAAATAGAAAGCATAATTCCAAATCAATTTGCAAATTGAATTCAATTTAACATCTTTATATTCTTTGTGTTTACCCAACCCAACCCCAACTTCTCAGCAATTACAATGCTTTAGGTATAAATAATACAATCCTTTAAGAATGTACATACTAACTCAACCCTCTCTTAGGAGATCAAGAACTATGACTTCATTCATTTTACAGATAACCAAACTGTCTAAAGCCACAATCCATTAAGAACTGATAAAAGAATAATTAAATCTGAAATTCTCTTCCCTACACTATTATTCTGAAATTAGTGGCCATCACATTTGGGAACATACAATGTATACCCAGGAACATCACCCACTAAGAACACACACATACACAAACAACTTACTGTAGTTGAGGCACAATTCCAGAACATTCTGAAACGGGGGTCATTGGTGTCATGGGAGTTATAGACACCAGAGGCATAGAGTTTGGTTTCTCAAGAGAGGGCTGGACCGAGTCAGCATCAGCAGGGTACAGGTGTGAATGGGAATTCAACAAACTGCTGCTGCCTATTAAGCCCAGACCAATGTCCTGTTCTCTGGGTAATGACAACCTACTTTGCTGACTTTGAGTTTTACAATTTTCTTCAATTTCATGCTTGCTTCTAATAACACTCTGGTCTTTATTTTCTTGGGTAAGTTCATCCGGTAGGAAGCTAAGATCCACAGATGAGAAATGGCCAGGTGTTTCTTTGACTTCTTCAAGATGTGAATTAAACACCATCTTTGGATTGGATGAATTAGGCATGTACACATCATCAGGTACAACTGGGCTGAGCAGTGGTAACCTGGGTGGAGTGAGATCATCCTAGGCCATTCCCAAAACAAAATGCAAGAAATAGAACAGCAAGTCACACCAAAGGGATACCACTATAGCTAGCAGGCAGTATGTTCAAGATGCAGAGCAGTCCAAGATAGCTTATATTCATTCCTTACCTCTTTCCATAAAGTATCACTAATGTTATATTTCAGAGTTATGGCACACTTGATAGAAACAGGAAGGTAGATCTTTTTTTTAAGATTTTATATATTTATTCATAGAGACACACACAGAGAGAGAGAGAGAGAGAGAGAGAGAGAGAGAGAGAGAGAGAGACAGGCAGAGGGAGAAGCAGGCTCCATGCAGAGAGCCCGACGTGGGACTCCATCCAGGGTCTCCAGGATCACGCCCTCGGCTGCAGGCGGCGCTAAACCACTGCGCCACTGGGGTTGCCCAGGAAGGTAGATCTTAAAATGTAGAGAAGGCATTTTTAAAAACTGTTTTTCCTACATTAGATTCATAGTAAGTTGCCACTCTAAATGTAATTTTGTAAGAAAGGCAATGAGCAATCATATTGTGTGTGCTTTGGGTCCTCTTTCTGCCCTCTTTCCATGCTGCCATAATGTTGCACATGGATGTCCTGGCAGATGCTCTCAAAAGTATTAACAATGCTGAAAAGAGAGGCAAGTGCCAGGCCAGGTTCTTCTTATGCCATGCTCTAAAGTCATCATCTGGTTTCTGTGATGATGAAGCATAGTTACATTGGCAAATTTGAAATCACTGATGATCACAGAGCTAGGAAAATTATTGTGAACCTCACAGGCAGGTTAAATAAGTATGGAGTGATCAGCCCCAGATTTGATGTACAACTCAAAGATTTAGAAAAATGGCCGAATAATCTGTTCCTGTCCTGCCAGTATGGTTCCATTGTACTCACAACCTCAGCTGGCATCATGGACCATGAAGAAGACAAAAACACACAGGAGGGAAAATCTTGGGATTCTTTTCCTAGGGATATAATACATATGTGCAAACAAAATACCTCAATGGACAAAATAAAAATTTTTAAAAAATAGTGTGTACTTTGAACCGATTTATTGTACTCCTTGATATGAACTTTAATTGATTTAAGTATTTTTTTAGTTTTAAATTCACATTTCATAAAGAGACAAGTGAAGGAAGCTTAAGATAGTCTTGATTACTAATCAATAATCAACTGAAGACCCAACATTATTCCTTCTAGTCAAAGGGGATATAAGCATATATTCTAGTTTTGTGAATTTACAATAGGAAAACAGTTATTGAAATTTAAATGGCAAGAACGGTTTAAATCAATGTATTGTATTTTCAGTCTGGGGAAGGCTGCTCAACCTCCATTACTTTCAACTAGGGGAGGAGGTTTGCACCTGAGAGAAGCAGTTAATGCAAAATTCATGGGCTTTTTTATGGAAAAAAAAATCAATTACCTTGATACATATATTACCACCTGCTTCGCCCAAGCTGCAGATTCAAAATCTGGAAAAGCACTGCTTGCAGGATAACCTCATCCCTTAGAAGATCTGACTTCTGACAACTGAACATTCTCAAATGACTCTTGTTGGATCTGCTCCACGATAGAGCTCAAGCTTAACATAAAATGTCTGGCTAGACCCTACTGAATTGTTCTGTTACTCCCAGTCCAGCAGATGGCAGGGGTGACTAATTGTTCAAAGAAAATACTTCTTTAGAAGAATGCAGCAATTCTCTTGAAATAAGATGTTGGACTGTCTTATTTTGAATTATCTAATTCTCCCTCACTTACCCGCTACTCCACAGATGGGCTTTACGCAAAGTGAGGTGGGGGAAATGGCCAGGATCCCTTTCCACGGTCTCCTGGGCTTCTCCTCTTCTGGCAGAAAGGATCTCATCAACCAATTTGCACTAAAGCACTATTATCTGCAACAATCAGCACCTCCCCTCCTTTTTCCCATTATGGCATTTTAACAGGGAGGAAACTCTCAGCCAGGGAAACCCTGCTTCCACAGGACTCTAAGGCAATGGTAACAATATACTGAAGGGGGATGTTTTACAGCAATGGAAGCTTGACAGCCTCCTTTAAGGTTTACTGTAGGAACCGGATGCACGGACAGCATATTCACTGCAACTTGGGCCTTATAGCTGAAGAACATTTTTGTTGTCTTTGCAGTACCATCAACTCCTCCCTCCTGCGTGGGCTTTCATTTGCTATGTTAAACGCCATGAGGCTTCACTATTTCTACTTTGGTGCTAACCGTTGTCTTTTAAAAAAATCTTTCTCCACGCAGAAAGTTGCACTTTGCTTTGCTTTTTGAAGGCTCCTTGCTCTCTCTCTTCTACAATATTTGACTCTAACGAGTTTTTAAGTTAAAAAGAAAAGAAAAAAAAGAAAGAAAAGAAAAAGGAAAAGAAAGGAAAAAAGCCCTTAAGAATTGCGAACTGAAAGAAACCACAGGTGTCTCCAATTCCAATTTTGCAACCCCACCCCGTGGGCCTGCAACGGCACCGGTAGCCATCCTGGCCAGAGACTGTTTCTGCAGGCCTGTTCTTGGCATCGAAGGTTGCCCCCCCCCCCCCCCCAGGTGCGATACCAAGGCCGCGCGGGATAGGTGGCCTACGTCTGCCTTAGCAAAGCAGAGACAGTCCCCAGAGGAGACACGGCAGCGCTAACGGGGCCTGGACCATCTGACCGTGGCCCAGGAGTCACACCGCCCCAGGCCACCAGGTTTCACGCCTGGCTGGCCACCGTGCAGGTTAACTCCCCTCTCGAAGCTTCTTCGTTTCCACTTAAGGATGGAGACAACCTGGCCCACCTGCCACGGGGGCTAGGAAGCTGGGAGTTCCGTAAGAGACACTGAGGCGCTGCCCTTGGGGCTCGGGACTGGGCGCGCGGGCCCGGCGACGGCGGCGGCGGCTCCGGGCTCACCTGGGCGAAGCACTGGTCCAGGTAGAGCTCCAGGTCCGTCTGCTCCTCGTCCATGGGTGGAGGCCCCACAGTCAGAAGCGCTGGGAGGCCGCAGCGCCCAGGGGACCGGAGCAGCGGCGGCGCACGAGCCCTTTATGAGGCCGTGGGCGGGGGGCGGCGGGGGCGGCGCGGGGGCCTGGCCCGGGTCTCCCCCCGCGCCCGCCCCGCCCCGCCCCGCCCGCGCGGACTGCGCGCCCCCAGTGCGCAGCCGGAGAGGGGCGCCGAGCTCGGCCCCGGGCCGCCGCTCCCGGGGGAGAGGGGAGCAGGGGAGCGTGCCCGGAGGGAGACCCGAGGGAAGGGGCCTCCCCGGGGGGCAGTCACACCCGCCCCGACCCCGACCCCGCGGATCTGGAGATTTCCTTCCGGACCCACAAGTGCGGCCTCTGCCTCCCAGAAGGACCAAGTCTCGGTGTCCGCGGCGTGAGAAGGGAACGCATTGGGCGCCGAGAAAAACGAAGGCCATCCCCACCACCCCGCTTAAGGGATGGTTTTTTGTTTTTTGTTTTTTTCCTCTCCTGAACAGAGCAGGTGGAATTTGAGACCCCCTTACGCACTCAGGTGTAGTGCTTTCAGGTTATGATTGCTCCTCACCTTCCAATCCCAGGTGTGTTTTCTCCAATCACAGAGAATTCAGCCTAAACCTACATACTGTCTGAAAGGAATATAATACTGTATGTTAATTATACTGGAATTAAAATTAAATAAATAAAAAATAAGAATCTTTTAAAAAAGGGGGGAGGGGGCAGCCCGGGTCAGCGGTTTAGCGCGCCTTCGGCCCAGGGTGATCCTGGAGTCCTGGGATCGAGTCCTGCGTCGGGCTCCCTGCATGGAGCCTGCCTCTCCCTCTGCCTGTCTCTCTCTCTCTCTCTATGTGTGTGTGTGTGTGTATAATATATACATATATATATATATGTTTCTCATGAATAAATAAATAAAATCTTTTAAAAAATAAAGCTACATACAATTGAATGTGCTGCTGCAGTTTGAGGCAACTCAAGACGACAATACAAAGACCAAGTATTCGGGGTTGTCTCTTAAAGTCATTATTTTAATTTTTAACGACTCAGCTTTCCTAAGAACTTAAATGTGCAGGATGGTTCTATAAATCCAATGGACACTTTCTATGTAAGATATTTCAAAATGTACATGGAGACATACATAAAGTACGTCTTTCCTGTTAGACTATACTCTCTGAGAGCAGGAATTTTGATTATTCATCTTGTGTTGCTGTACCAAGCTCACAGATGATCAATAAAACTTTATTGGTGAGTGAAACTGCCCTCAAAATAGAGCATGGAAAGCACATTATGGTAGAGACAGATGGCTCTAACCATCAGATGACAATAGAGATCTTATAGAATTTCTAATCAAGAATACAGGAAACATCTTGATAAAGCTGACTTTTATATAATGGTTTATAATGGCATGTAATTTTGTTACAATTATGCCTACAGAAAATGTTTTGCATAGTACCTGCCTGGTGGCTGAAATACTAGCTCTTGGTTTTGTTATTAGACTCTTATGTACTGAATCGTGTTCTGCCTCAGATTCATATGTCAAAGCTCTAATCCAATATGACTGGTGTCCTTATAAGAAGAGAGAGACACCAGGGATGCATGTGCACAGAGAAAAAGGCCATGTGAGGACACAGTGAGGGGGCAGCTATCTATAAGCTGAGGAGAGAGGCCTCAGGAAACCAAACCTGCTGACACGTTGACCTTGGGTGTTCAGCCTCCAGAACTGTGAGAAAATAAATTTCTGTTATTTAAGCCACTCAATCTGTGCTATTTTGCTCTGACAGCTCTAGCCAACTAATATATAGAATTATAAAGCGTCTCATCATATGTGGTAGACAGAATTCTGAGATGGCTCCCACAATTCCTACCCCTTGATGCCGACAGTTTCTCCCAGTTATTCAAACACTAATCTAGGTGCTACTGTAAAGGGATTTCGAAGATCTAATTAAGGTCCCAAACTGGAGATCGCTGGGTGGCTCAGCGGTTTAGCACCTGCCTTTGGTCCAAGATGTAATCCTGGGTCCTGGGATGGAGTCCCACATTGGGCTCCCTGTGTGGAGCCTGCTTCTCCCTCTGCCTCTCTTTCTCTCTCTTTCTTTCTCTGTGTGTCTCTCATGAATAAATAAATAAAATCTTAAAAAAGAAAAGTCCCAAATCGGTCAACTTGAAGAAAGATATAGATTGTCCTGGGTAAGCCTGACCTAATCAGATGAGATTTTGAAAGGAACTGGGTTTTTCCTCCTTATGTGGGAGATTCAAAGCATAAAAACCTTACCACGAAGGAGTCTCCACTGCTGGCTGCGGAGAGGACTGGGGCCATGTTGTAATGAAGGCAGGTGACATGTAGGAGCTGAGTGGCCCACAGTTGACAGCAAGGAAAAGGAGACCTCCTCCTACAGTTGCAAGGAGCTGAATTTGGCCATAAACAAAGAAAGGAATCCCTGAAAGGAACTCAGCCTGGTCCATCCCTTCATTTAAGCCTAGGAAGCCCTGACCAGAGAACCCAGTCACACTGTGTCTGGACTTCTGACCTATGCAACCGTGAACTTATAAATGGTGGTGTTTCAAGCCACTGAACTTGTGGTAATTTGTTTCTCAGAAATAGAAAATGAAAAAAAGAAAACGAACGCATCATAAATTATAAATAAGAAGCAGAGACACAGATGTGACCTGCAGTGCAAATGGTAAAGCAAATGAATAAAATGTAAACAATAAGCAAATTTGAGTAAGGGGTACATGAGTGTTCCTTGTACTTCTATTTTTGTAACTTTTTGTTTTGAAATTATTTCCAAATGAAGTTTCAGAATAAAAGAGGTGTATCTGTTTGGGTGAATGTTTTTAGTTGCTTTGTTGAGAGTTAATTTGTCCAAAATCTTTTTTTTAAAGATTTTATTTATTCATAAGAGACACAGAGAGAAAGAGACAGAGACATAGGCAGAGGGAGAAGCTGGCTCCCCGCAAGGAGCCCAATATGGGACTCCATCCTGGATCCCAGGATCACGCCTTGAGCTGGAGGCAGATGCTCAATCACTGAGCCACTCAGGTATCCCAATTTGTCCAAAATCTTAAATTGTTGTATTTCTGAGAATCAAAGATTGATATGGTTTGAATAATAATTAAATGCTAGCACTCACTGAACTCTTATGTGCCAAGCACTGTTCTAAGTGTTTCAGACATGAACTCATCTAAACATCACAACAACCCTGTGAGGTAAGTACTCTTTTGTCCCCATTCTGGAAGAGAGGATACTGAGGCACAGAAAGGTTTGGTAACTTGTCCCAGGTAACACCAACACTTGAGAGTATTTGACTCTCAAGCCACATGATATGTATTGTCCCCATCAAAGTCTACATATGCCATTTCAAATTAGTAGTTTGCATTTGAACTGTGTTTGTTAATCTGTTTTGATCTTGATTTTTTTCTTCAGATTTTGTACTTTGTTATATTTTGTATTTTGGCAGAAAAAGAAAAAAGAAAACAAAATAACGTTATCCAAACATTTTAATTCATTCTTTCTTAATTACTGTTGTGAAGATTAAATGGGTAAAATGGAAGTATGGGTAAACTTTCAGCAAGCATTTTGCACATATAAAGTATTATTTTTAATATCTTTAAGAGAGTAATGTCAAGGGGTGACTGGGTGGCTCAGTTAGTTAAGCATCTTCTTTGGGCTCTCGTCATGATACCAGGATCCTGGGATCGAGCTCCACCCCCCCAGCACCCCCCCCCCAATCAGTCCGCTGAGAGGGAGCCTGCTTCTCTTTCCTCCTCGGCTCCTGCTTATGTGCTGTCTCTCTCACTCACTGTCTCATAAATAAATAAATAAAATCTTTTAAAAAAGAGTAATGTCAAGACTTAGATGGACCATGGCAATAGTTATGAAGAGTGTTCATAGGCCTTTAACTCTTATTTTAATAGGCCCTGTCCTTCATCATAGAAAATAATAAAACAAACCCATATCCCACATTAAATGTAATTTATAAATCACTAAGAGTTGAATTGCTTGTGACCATTTGATGTGTCCCATTTTGTAGACATTAATTCAAATTTACTAATTCAGTTTTGGAATTTAAAAACATTTTGGAGCCAATAAATTTTTCTCAGCTCTCAAACAATCAAGAGCACTGGGCCTTAGTCTCTAAAATTGCCACTTGGGGCCAGATAGTCTCAGGCAGGAAAAAAAAAAAAAAGGATGGAACTGCAAGGTTGAAGGAATATTGGGAAATATGTTTCACTAGGGGGTGCTCTTTCCTCTCCATCGATATCTTCTGGGTGGGGGCACAAACAGCTTTTAGAGTCCGGTTACAAAGGGGTCCACACATCCCCTAGATGTTAAAAAGTGGATATTTCTCTGTGGCAGAAGACTAGAGGGTACTTCCAAAAGATAAGATTAATCACTGTACCAATCAATGCAAATACATTTGTACATATTTATACACAGAGATTCAATTTATGGTGGCTAAACCAACCAAAAGTGCTTGTAGAGTAATCCACATTCATACCACCTTGATGGGTGTTATATGTGAGGGGCAATTTTGCACCCTAGGAAAAATCTGAAAGGCAAGAATTTTCATAAATGTTATTAGGTTTCTTGAGGCCATGTTAGGAGAGAACATTTTTAATCTGTGGCAGTTTGGTTTCTTTTTGTCTTAGGAGCCATGGACATTCATTGCAATTAATCTCTATATTGAGCTGTAAGTTTCCTGACAGGGACAAGAATATGAAAGTGGATTTGAGCATTGCTTGAAGGTCTTTTCTAGATCAAAGTTTAATGAATTTTTGTCCTTTCAGTAATCATTTGAAATAAAAATATCCCACAATAACTCATCCTTCTCCTTCTCAATGGATATGGAGCATAAGTGTCAGCATCTGGGAAGGAGCCTGTATGATGGCTCAATCAAGAAGGTGCTGAAGCATTGTCACAAATAACCCCCTTAGTTACCGTAGCCATGGGTCACCAATCTCAGTCCCCTGAAAATCTTGAATGGTAACATCACCATCGATTCTCCCCAGTGATGTTACTGCA